AAGTTTTTTTTCTTTAAAATAAATCATTATTAATTTATTTTAGGAAATGAAACTATTTTTCCGGATTTAAATCGCGTATATTTGTTTTTCAAACTCATGGTCACGGTTGACATGGGACCTATAAAGGGCCCGAAACGTCGGTTTGTTTGAAAAAACAAATATACGCGATTTAAATCCGGAAAAATAATTTCATTTCTATGTGTAACAATCGCGAAAACCTAAGAACTTAATTTATTTTAGGTTGTACACCTCGACCACAAGGGGAATGAATTTCTTCGGTTTTTTGGAATCATAATATTCGACGTTAATTGTGTTTATTAATAGTCAATAAATAGTACGACTAACTATTGCCCTGTTTTTTTTAACATATTTTAATTTAATACACACATTTTTTCATAAAATTTAAGACTCTTGGGTACAAAAAAATTGACGATAATCTGAGTGGCCAACTATTCTAAAATAATGCGTGTATAAAGTAGAATTGTATGACAGAATGGTATAATTCATTATTGTATCTAATGTAAATAGAAAATTATTGTTATTAACGTGTAAAAGGAGTTCATTTTACTAAAAAAACATGTTTTCAAATTTTTTTTTGTCCTGAATTGTAAATGACCATTGAGGTTCAATAAAAAACAGTATAAGACATAAATAAAACTTTATTTTAAATTTATTTACAACAAATGTTCATATTGTTTGGAACTCAAGTCAGTACCTGAAGTGATGAAGGACAAATTAAAGTTCGTATATACATAATGCGTTATATGTCATTAAGAAAATAAATTAAACCGAAATCGGAGAAAGGTGGATTATACTGTAGGATAAGTAGGTCATAAAGTTTTCGTCATGCGAAATGTCGTACTAATTATTAAGAAATATTTTTTATAAAAGTTAAAAAAAATACACCAATGGACAAAAAGAAAAAAAAACTACTTGCAACTCAAAAATTCAAATGCATTTTCATCATAATTTACGAATTTGAATAATTCATTTATGGGTACCATTAGAGAGGTTATTTTACAAATTTAAATTGATTTTTTTTTTTTTTTTTTTATACCTGATAGGCAAATGACTCCACTCCACCTGATGTTAAGTGGAAAGTGGTATCCAAACGCGAAGGAACCTAGTGCAGCGATGGAATCCTCACTGCACTAGCCGCCTCCACCCTGCCTGCCTACAATATGCCTCTTCACGCCTCGTTTGAAGGACCCCATATCATAAGAGGGAGGGAAGACATGTGCCGGAAGGGAGTTCCATTTGTCAACCGTGCGGCAGAGAAAGGAGCCACCGAACCTTTTCATAAAATTTTACGGATACATTCAAGATGTAATTATCTCAATAAAAAAAAAGAAAATTCGCAGTGCAGAAACTTAGGTTTCAATGAACGAATAAAGGATAAAAAACAAGCCTTAGCATATTGTTTTAACTTATCTGGCTGAAATTACTGCTTCTCTTAGTATTATCTTTATAGCGGGCGAAATGATTAGTGTGAAGTTATTGCATTCTTTCTATAACATGAGGGATGTTTCTTTCATTTTGTAACATAATCATCAGCTCTGTAAGAGTTAAAGTAGCAAGATCACCGACTCGAACTTATATCTTAATTCGTCTCAAACATTCAAAAGTTTCAACAGGATTCAAGTCCGTGTCAACTGACGTTTAGCACTAATGCCAGTACTCCTAAAATATAGAGTAATGATTCCTGCTGTGCGTGGTCTAACAGTATCAGGTATTAGTATTTTTTCAAATACACCATGAGTCAAGACGGCGTCCGTCCCTACTAGATGGACGGATGACCTGTTAAGCGATCGGGTCTTCAATAGATTACTGAGCATAAAGTTCACCAAAGAGACAGTAAAATTGGTCTTCGTTAATTTCCGTGAAAGCTCGTCTTGCCACATCGGAAAAAAGACTCAATATCGACAAATTGCACCAATCCAAATTTAAGGCGCGCTGGGGTGAATCAAAGTCAATCTTGAGCCTATCGCAGCTCTTCAAGCGCTAAGTGCCTTTCAGTTAGCCTTGTTTTAACCGTTCGTGCACTGACTACTACTCAACCAAACAATCTGAGTGTCATATTATTTGTTAAAATTTTAAAAATACATTTCGACTTCCAAGTAATTCGCTTCATTTGTCCCTCAATATTTTTCATTTTCCCTTACATATTTTACTTTGAACTGCAATGGAACTTACCTTCATGAAACGAAAGCGGCCTTTGGAGCTACTGTACTACTGAAACCATTAAAAAGTAATTGGTTTGCTGTTTTTTTTTAATATGCAAATTTTTTTTTCATTATAGGATTGGTGGGACCCACGGCATACGACGAATTAACCAATCTTTAATCGGAAATACGTATTTCCGATAAAGTAACATACGCTTGAGGATATAAGAAAAATTGTAAAAAAAGATACACGCAACTGAAGACAATGTCTTGGTTAGGTCAAAACTGTTTCATACCTTACCTGATTGATTTATATGTATTAAATTCCTTAATTTATTTTATAGCAATTGTTATACCTTTTTATACGTACAGTCCGAAACTATTGGTAAGCAAAAACTTTGTGTGCCACACTTTTGTAGTGTGAACATAAAGTTGTTTTATTATATGTATTAATAAAAACACATCTTATCAGGTTTCCGGTCAATAGAAAATAGCCCTGTATGAACATACGTATCTCGGTATTTATCTACTGAGCACCATATTTATCTTATTTCCTTTTTTTATCTTGCCTATTACCTTACTCAACTCTTGCAATCACAATAATTATTCGGATTTGCAAAAAATACCTTTGCGAATATCGGATTGACCGTGCATATTTCGTATTGCAAACATAACTCGCATATTCAAAACTGATTTTTAATAAAGTTGTGTTGCTATTATGAGTTTTGTCACCAGTTAAAGTAACGTAACAATGAGTAAGTAAATCAGAGATGATAATGTTGAAAAAGGCGATGTATATAATTGCGGCATTAATAGACGTACGAGTTTTATTGCATTTATGAGATTAAGTTTACGTCCATAATAAAAACTTTCAATTATCGTGAAATAAAAAGTTGACCATTTTTGACAGCTCTATTCATTCTCTGATTTAGAAATTCGACACAGTGAAGTCGCGAAAATGGGTGAATGGCGACGGATGACAACGTTTAGAGCAAGGTTACTCCCCGCGAATTGATCCCAGGGAATGCTGAATAAAAGGTCTGATTAAGCAATATTTATTTGGAGATATGCGATAGAAGGTTTCTTTAGTTCGGTTTAGAGCATGTGACGAACTCGCTTTATCGTATAAACGAAAATGTCACGACGAAACGCACAATAAAAATTATAAAAAGCGTGTAAATCTTTATAGCAGCAGGTGAACATTTTCAATTTCCGGGATGAGCGAGTGCGCCCTTATAAATTGTAGGTTGTAAACGGGATTTATGACTTGCATCCGCAATTTGACAAACTATTACCTACTTTTAATATCATACGCAATCAAGGCTACTCCTATAAAGGTTACTCGTATTTGTTCCATCATCATAAAGATAAAAAGTCTTATCTGCACAAATAAAACATTCAATTTAGTTTTAATATCATCCAGTAAAAGTACCACTAACAAGCCAACTATCGCAACCGTTCTAGATTTTGAAAACCTTAAAGCAACAATCGACCTAGTAAAGTGTTATAAGTTTCAGAGAACAACAACAGCTATCATGGGCAATAACTAATGAAGTTGCTAACTAACAATTAGTATTGACATAGAAATTGTGCTGAATACTGATTGTAGTAAATAACGAACTTTATAATCCCTAGGCAAAGAATCGGGAAGTGCTATGGGAAATGCAAACTGTACCGCGTTTGATGTTCTTGGGAACATTCCGTTGATATAATCAGTGGCCAGTGAGGGAGTTGGATGAATTGTTGAGAAATGATGAAGCATTGATTACACTAACGAAGAGGTTTAGCTTTGTGCTTGCAAACATTATATGTTATCTTCTTTTATACCGTACATTTCATGATTCAGCACATTACGTGAACTCCAATCAATCTCTACTAAAATAGGCAGGAAATTAAACGTAACAATGAGGATACTGATTAACCGCAACAACCAGGAAGGGTTGCCTACAATAAAAACAAATCGGAGAAGCTAGTTTCAGTGAATTTATCAATATCGTTAATCGTGCAGAACCAACTATAAAGGTATAAGTGAAAGTGCTTTTGATTTGAGGTTAAAATGATCAGTCAGATTTCATGCAAAAACGGGGTATAATAGAAACTTTGTCCTTGTAACCTGTAGAAAGCAGAGGTCATCGCTGTAAGACATCGTATTAGCCAAAAAACTCTTGCTGCATTTCATTCGACAGCTAAATTTTCATCATTTCAATTTCCAAATAAGCTTTTAATGCAATTAAATGTAGACCAATTTGACTAGGTATTGATTCCAACCCATTATGCACAACCAATATGCATAACCGGTTTTAAAAATTCAATTTATTTTCTAATTATTATAAGGTACTTTTGGTAGTGATACATTAATACGTATTGGCTACGTAAAAATAAACTTGCATATTCATTTTCAAAATCCTACAATTCAGAGCAGAAGCCTTTGCTGAAATTGGATCAATAGTATGAATATAATGCATTTACTTTGAACTATATTTAATTTCCCTCCGATTAAACAATTCGTGCTTAAAAAGAAAAAATAATCGTCAAATTATATATTTTGGCGTAAGCGCATTGGCATTAGGGATGTAAAGTTCATGCACCCTTTTTGCATTTAAGATGAGGGAGAGCTGTGGACAGCGCGAGGCGCGAGTCGCGGGGCTGCGCTGGAGTCCGCGCGCGTCCGAGTCTAGTCCGGCAATCGCCGACCGCGCCATCTCTCCCTTTCTCTCGGGCCTATTGCGCTCTCTCTCCGTCCTTCGACGGCTCGTTCCTCTTCTTCTTGCAAGGTTAAGGTTACGTCAGACGTGTTATGTTATAACCGTTGGGGCGCACTCCGCCAAGTTCAGTGTCTTGTCGAGAGTGGCCGCGACACTAAGCTCGCGACCATCGCTACGCGCGCCTTCTTCGGGGACTGTGCGACCACCTGTGATATACGACCAGTGAAAAGTTCATGAACTGGGTGTTGAAATTGTTTGAACTATCACACGTGACGCTTACATTAAACCGATCCAGATCACCTTGATCCCTTTGGTACGTACTGTGTTTTACTTTAGTACGTTTTTTTTGCAAAATTTTCACATGACTAACTCTGTCCAAGGTAACACTTTTCTCGTAAGTCGGGAATATCTGGAAGATACTCCACGGTATCCTGTTAATAAACAGGTCCTTCTATAAATACTTTTTATGGTCGGTAGTGGAAACTCTATCTTAAGGGAGTTTATTAAACATATTATATGTAACAAGACAATGACGACTTTATGAGCTTTACTCTAGTTATTTTAAAAATTCAGTTAAGTCTTCTAAAATTTGATTACCTTATACAAAGACTATGTATATTTTCATATTAGTTTCATGCTGATGGAAGAATAAAACATATGGAAGCTATTTTACAACCTAATTAAAACATTGCTTGCGAAATATTGAGAAGCGCAAAATATAGGGCGTCCTGAGTATGTAGTGAATAATATTTTAACGTCTAAAAGCGGTGTTTAATGAAAAAAAAAATTCTAGTTTTCATACAAATATCTCATGGAAAATCAAATTTTCTTTTGATGAAATGGTGTTTAAGCCTGACCTTTTATCTGTTGGAAAAATCTACTAATAACTGAATAATATTTCTGATGTAATATGAGAAGTCTTGCCAACCACCGCCAAGAATCTAAATCAGCATCTCAACATTTATCAGAACTAAACCCCCTAAAGTAATATTGGTTTCTCGTAGAAGAAAGAAGAAGTCAATAACAATAAAATATAATCTTGTCTGCCCTGAACGTGTATAACTACAGTACTTGAAGAAAAAATACGAATAAAATATTTGACTTCTAAAATATTTAAGGGATAAATTTAATATTAACGTTTACACGTTTGTAACTTTATGTCAATTTCACACGCTCTCACGGCACTGGAAAAAATTACTTACATGTTTTGACTTATTCGCATCGTTTATAAATTACAATTGCAACGGCATCACTTCGAAGCAGTAGCACAATGAGACTTAATCAAAATAAAGTAATAGTTTAGTAAAAAAAAACTATACTCTAACGGTCACTCTCTGTGAAATGCTTGTAAAAATGATGTACCTGATCTGATGTATGCTTAGGTATTTATAAACTAAGAAATTGAAAAAACTAAAAAAATGCAGGAAAATAAATTTAGTAAAAAAGAGAGAAGAGTTTTAAAAAATTACTTAAAAAGTTCATATTCAAGAGATCTAATTTCAATGGGATTTTTCTTATAACGCGAAGTACAATAGACACAAATCAAAATCAGCGTTTGTGTAGAAAAATAACTCACCGTTAGGAGACTATAGCCGAGGTTTTTGCGCGCACGCTTGTCTTCGATCGTGTATTCGCGTGATAAGCTCTACTGCGCATGTTTTGTTTTGCTTCATATTCTTTTTATTCAAAGAATTCACACTCATTAAGGGAATTACGTACAAAATAATTATGTTCCAGGAGTTTTATTCACATTCTAATTGTTACTTACATTTTTTTTAAGAATGCGTTTTTATGTTTAAAAAGCTTAAAGTAAGTCATATGGCTTAATTTTTTAAGGTAGGATACTTTTTGAAAAAAAGAAGCCTTTATATTTATAATAAAAAATGGATTAAAACTTTTTAGAGTAAAACCTTTTTCCAAAGTTAACTATTTAAACAAAATACTTCAAAATTAAATATTTGAGTTTTTAACCATAACAAAAACAAAACTAAGTTCAAAATGAATAACTAAGGAAATAATTAGAAATATAAAACACTACATATTAAAAATCCAATGAAACTTTAAATCCAGAAAACAATATCTATACATATATTTTGCAATATGAAAAAAAAACTTAAATGCGAAAATTTTTGTATAAAAAGACTAAAAAGAGTGCGTGTGCGCAAGCTTTGTTGAGCGTTAAACCCGCGCCGTATTTAGACTCGGTTCGTTTGCTAAAAGATTTATCTACACATCTTCGCGGTAAAAATAGATGTGCTATTTTTATCGTACAGAATTAAGATTTTTTTTTCTTTGAAATATTTTACATCGCTCCAGGGATTCAGTAAAGGTTCACTAAATTTTATCGAAATATTATATATATATATATATATGCATCTTAAGTATAGAACATTAAAAAATAGACCTTTACAGTTTTTCCTGTAGGGACTGTTGAGGCTAAAAAAGAGAAAGAAATAAAAATTTAAAGATGAATGTATAATAATAATACTTACATTAAAAGTAATATTTTCAAAACTTAATCTAAATAATAACGCGTAGAACAAGTTTATCAATACAAAAGACATCAACGATAACGGCTATGCGTTACCGTTACAAGAAAATTATTATGTTTGAGAGTTACAATTTTTACGCATTGCGACATTCAAAATTACATTAAATCTGCATACAAATTTCTATTTTCTAAATAAAATGAGGAGTTTATTTCAAACAAATTGTGATTATAACTTCATAAAACGTCATAAGATATTTTTTTAAACGCGCGAGAAATAACGTCGTATATGTATGACTAATATTTTAGTTACCATGAATTAGAAGTACAATCTACGATGAAATAATAAGACCTCCTAACTAAAAATTTATATATAATTGTAATATTAAGCATATCAGTGTTTTATTACCATTCAATTTTTATTTTTTATAAAATTACTCGACTAGTTTGTTATAATTAGGTATTAATACAAAGATGGAAAATTAAGAAAAATTCCTTCGATCCGGCTGGATGTTGAAGACGCTGCTGCTGGCTCGGATCCAGCCGGATCGAAGGATATTTTCTTATTTTTCTATCGTTGTATTAATAAATATAAAAATTTTATGTTAATGTTTTTTCTTATATCGCATTTCACACAAAATTGAATATTACAATAATACACGAGTACAATCCCTTGGATTATAACCAAATCAAAGCAAAAGTACTTCATTTGTTACATTCCAAATCCAAGGCATGTTTCTTAATCATATTCCAATACAGTGTGATTGTCATGTAGTAGTTAGTGTTGTCATTTTCTAGGCGAATTCTAACTTTTTGCAGATTTGTTTAGTCACTTAAAAAAAGAATAAGATCGTAATGTCCGGAACAGTTTGATCCAATAAAGTCATTTGCATAATTCCAATGAGTTGGTCCAGTTGTATAATAAAGATTTAACGATCACATTTGATTGCATACTTTTAAAAACGGTGTATTCCCATTCAAGGCAATATAACCACTTTATTGTATCCTATATAGTAATGAAAAAACAAAAAGCTATTCGTTATTAATATTACTCTCTTTTTAGTGTCATATTAATCTCGATCGAAAGTCGCAACTCTAATAAGTAAAGGCTTTTTGGTGGGCTTTGTCTTCAACATTGGCTTCAGTTCACAGCCTTTTATTTGTGTAAATTTATATTTAAAATAATGAACAAGTAATAAGGAAACAAAATATTTTTCGCATTTATAACTTCAGTTCTCAGTTGATCATTGTGATGTATGTGTCAAAAATGTAAATTATTTTATTTAAAAAACCTAAAAGCTATGTACAGCTATGGTATTCCCACGATAATTCAGCACTATTAAGGCATGGGCTGGCTAGGTATCTAGGTTGCCTAGGGTAGGCTACAATTGCACGAAACAAGTAGCGTTCGCAGGCCACAAAAGTATAACAAACGATCCGGAGAGCACGATCGAGGCCGGGGGTCAACACTAGTATACTCTAGGAATGCCAAACTCAATGCTGTGAACAAGCCAACTTACCTTTAAAAGGTTATATTGGCCCCTATGAGGCTTTTACCTTGGATATTTACGACATATTAGTCAAATTGACCTATAGAAGCTCGCAAACGATCTAATCTACCCATACACGTTTCAATAAGCCAAAACCAAAAGAAAATTGCAAATAAATAGATGTCAATTTCGATAATAAATCTACAAACATCGCTTGTTAAGGTTGTAGATTCATGTTAATGGCACAAATTGATTAAATAAAACTAGAAAATCTGATGATACACTGAACATGTATCTATAAAAACAAATTTGATTAAAAATAAAAATAATGTTACTAATATTACTCTGTGAAACTCCAAAGTTTCATTTAAAATTATTCTAAAGAACTAAGTTCGCCGTTTACGAGCGCGAGAATTGGGTTCTAAATTTTCCCAATAGATGGGTACGTTTGACCCGGTTGGGTGCACCGAGATTATAATTAAGAGGGTCACGTGAGAACAGCGGTAGTATTCGTGACTGCGCTCGTGTCGGTGACACGCCACTCGGAACTATCGAGCACAAGGCGAGACTGCGTTCCGATTTCCTGACTAGTTCGATAAAAAAATCGATTTAAACGAAAATGCATCTTAAAATTTAAATTAAATGTAAAACGGGAACAATACACCAGATCGCATTTAATGTAAAGTATATTCAATAATCATGATGCAATAATTCTGAAATAAACGTAAAACCTACAGTTTGTCCTCATCATCAAGTTAAACCTTTTTTAAATAATATAGTTTAAATACCTGCCCGGTTTATTTCTTTACACACCTGAGTTTAATTTACCAGCTTGACTGTAAAGTTAGCGATATATAATGAAAGGCGTATTTTATCTTAACTAAGTGGCAACGGGACTACAAAACGGTTTGTGGATATAAAGAAAATTTATTTTAAATGGCGCCAATAAATTAGCATGCCTCGTTCATTTTGTATGTAAAGGCAATGAATTATAGCAGGTCCTAAATGGGCACAGATCCATCATCGAGGAAATATTATAGGTATTGTCAGCAAATACGTTTCAAAACAGTGTAATAATATTATATTCTCACATTCCTTACGAAATGGGAAAATGGAAACGGCCTGTAAACCTTAATGACAAATTTGTAATGCTTAGAGTTCTGAAATTGTTCATTATTATAGAACAAATCCTTCATTTTATTCCCCTGTTACTCTTCTTATTTAATACAAGTATAGCATTAAGGTTACTCAAGTGTAAAACGTACAAACAAACATCAATAACGTCGTTAGCCGCATAGTTAGTTGTTTAGCGGGCAATTCGCGTTTGTCAAACGG